CATGTGACTGCAGTCATTGGCAGTCATATGATGGTTAAGTTAGGTTTTATTCAGGTGGAATTATGGTATGCCTTTAACTAGATGAAGCCTGATATTCAACAGGGAAAAGCTGGGTAGAGAGAGATATTTTTATTGTAAAACCTCTGAGAAACATACTGCTCTCTGTCAATTTTGCATGCGTTTGAATATTAGCCCTATGTATTGGCTCTGGGGCTTCCCTGGGGAGCTCAGCAGAAAGCCACTGCCTGCTGCAGGCCAGCTGAGCCTGAGGCAATGTGTGCTGGAGAAAAGGCAGACTTAGGCTTAGCAGCAGGATCTGGTACACTTAGCCTTTTATGGGGGATCTGGTGAGGTGTATTTGCAGATCTGATGGCAGGAGTCTGCTGCTTAGGTAAGTTGTTCCTCCATCAGTAGGTTTTTCTCCACCTTGTAACTGGGGGAGAGATGTGGTGGATGGAACATAAAAGGAGGAACCAAAGCATTGTTTGCCCTTGTGTAGGATTGTGGGGAAACCCAGCTGCTTTCCCTGAACTCCCTTCTGTGCTTTGTTGTAATTCCTTATGCTGAGGCATGGCTGTTTACAAAGACGTTGCAAAATGTGCTTTCTCTGGATGCCTCAGTCATCCAGCACCTGAAGCCTGTACTCCCAGATTTCTCCAGGCAACATCTGGTCCTTTAAACTCTCTTTTCTGCTTTTTCTCAGGTCATTGCTATGACTGTTTTCATGCTGTCTGGTGCCAGCCAACTCCACCCCCTGCCTCTCTCTGCAGCTCCAGAAACCCTCCTAAAACACTGACTGGCAAAAATCCTCCACCCACATGTGTCAAACGTGTGCCTTTGTTTGGGTGATGGCACGTGCCTCTATTTGCTGATGTTGCTCTAGCTGCTGGGTTCTGCAAGCATCGTGACTGTCTCCTCCAACTATCTTTGCAGAATAGTGGTGTTTACACTTCCCCCTCAGCTCCCTTCCAGTATGCTTTAGCCCAGCCTGAACTATTTTAGTGCAACGATTGAAAGAAGCAGCAATTGCTCATATGATGTGTCACACCATAAACTTTGGAAGGTAATTCATTCCAGCAGTAATTCTAGGATTCTGGAATCAAAAATATGGCCTGTTATTCATCTCTGTATCTCATAACATAACCTAAACCATTTATTTATTTACACAGAAAAGATTTACCTAAAAGCAAAGTGTTGAATGTCAAGAGCCACTGTTGCTACATATTCAGAATAATTATTTGCTTCATCTTTTTTTTTTTTTTTTTTTTTTAGTTCTACACCAGTGTTGGCCAGCAGTTCAGGTCAGGTGACAGAGAGCAGAGAGCCCCTACGTGAAACCTGGGAGAGCAAAACAGAATACTTGTTCTATCTGGAGTAGGTTATGAAAGCTTGAACACACTTGTCTTATGGTTAGGTAACATCTACAGTATTTTCTATTTTGAATGCATTTTCCTTCTGTATGGATGAAGTTTTCAGAGGTGTACACAAATACATGAGGCAGTGCACATTAAATGCATTGGGCACATTCCTTCTCCACTTACCCTGGTATAACTCTGGGTGAACTCAAAATCAGGGATACTGAGCTAAATTGACCTTGGAGTTACTGAGTACACAGCTTGATCCTTAGAATTCTTCTGTATGCTTCAGAATTGAATTGTAAATTCGAGGAAAATACAAGAAACCTGAACAAACAATCACAAGAATGAGCAGAGCTCAGACAGTGCGTACCATTTGCACAACTCTTGTACCATGGGACACATTTTGCAGAGGGACCCTACAAGAACGCAAAAGCGAAAAGACCAGTGCAGAGGGAAGAGCATTGACGAGGAGGGCAGGAAAATACATGAAAGGAGTAGGACAATCTGAGATGAACTGAGAGGGAGAGGTACAAGTGGTTATGGAGAGTATTGGAAGTTGATAGGCTCCTTATGTGTTGGGGTCAACTGTGTATTTTTCCTTCAGATATATCAAGTTTTCTTTAAAGATCTTGGTTTTGGAATCAACACTGAGATGGGGAGAACAGCATCCATCTGGGATATTCCTGTACTGTGGCATAGAGTTAGGAGAGGAAGAAAGGTGCTGCTCCTTCTCCAGGAGCAAAGCAAGATGGCACAGAAACCAGTGTCCTGTCCAGTATGGGAAACGAAGTCTCCTGTAGGCTTAACTGGCATTTCAGTCTTTTCTTTTCCCTGTGCAAAGCCATTTTGAAACAAAACTGTTATTCCCCCTTTTGTTAGCTGTGCTGACAGACCTCTTGGACCCAGTGTAAGGGACGTGGAAAGTACTGGAAGTGTAGCCTAGAGTAAAGGGTGTGTATGAAGGCAGCTCTGCTGAGATAGGTAGGGTGTCTGTCCAAGCATCTGTCAAAATCAATGAGAGAATTTGTCCTTAAGGCACAGATAGCAAGTTCTTTGTGATAGTGAAGAAATTGTTAAGTAATCGTGTACATGTGGTTCTCTGTCTCTCAGGTTCAGGTATTTGCCCCTGTTGCCAGCAGCTCTGCTCAGCCTGTGTAGGAGATATGCATGCACTTAGTAATGTGCTTTTTTTAGTCAGTGAATTCAGGATGATTTCCTGATATGTATAACAGGTTGCCACTCCACTTTGTTAATAATCCGTATTGTGTATCCCGCAGCTGTGGAAAATACCAACATTTTGGTGTGTGGTTTTCTTTTTCAACTTTCGCAGAGGTGGTGTTGTGCTGCCAGCAAACAAACTGGTATATCATGTTTCTGTTACCCATTAATTTGTTTGTCCTCACCAGAATGACTTCTGTGGTTTGCTGTCCAAATAATATATGTAAGCCTCTGTGTTCTTGGTTTTATCTCACTAGATGGAAGAACTTACTAATTTAAGACTGTTTCCTTGGTGAATCACCTGAGGGTTTCAGAAATGGTTAAGTAGAGCTCTGATTTGCCTGTTGTCTTATCTCACAATGAAATGATCTTTCTTTAAGGTGACTAGTCAGGAACGTAGCTTGCAGGCATTTATGGCCCTGATGCTTCTCCATGTTTCACCCAGGCAGCTGTCATGCATGTGGTGTTTAGCCTTGTCTTCTTATCAAAGGTATTTCATTGGAATAATCTTCTAACAGCAGAAATGGATCCAGATAATAATGTATACCACAACACTGACTTCTGGTTGTTAAACTATTAAGCCCAGACTCCTGTAGTTTTATTCTTCACGTCCTCTGCCAATAAAAACTTGTCTTTGACTCAGTAAGTCAAATGACCTGGGTCTATTTTTGTTGTTGTACTTTTTGGGTTGCTTTTATTTTCTAAAGGAAGACCAAATTGTTTGCTACTTTAACCTTTCCTTGGCTTGTAAAAAGCAAGGTAAGGCTAGCCAAGCTGGGAACTGCCACATGCTTTGATGTGTGCTTGGCATTTCCCACGTGAGGAGGGTGGCCAGCTGTGTTGTGTGTAACTTTGTCTGCCTGCTGTGGAAGACCTGCAATCCCCAATGCCATGAATTGTGATGATGTAGTTGGCTACAGCTGGAAGCATGCTGTGAGTGGGTAGCTCATCAGCTGTGAGGAGGATGCTTGTTTGGCTTGGGCTATTTTCTGAATGCTGAGAGTTAACAGTCAGGTCAGTAAAACTCCAAGGCTTTCTTCTTGTTCTTCCCTGTTGTAGGAGTAAGGTGATGCAGGAGATCCTCCCAGACCAAATCAAGGCACACAGCAAAGATGCAAGTGTAGCATCTTTGTACCTCCCTCATGGAGGGCAAAGGGATTGTGGCATTTCTTGTGCCTTTTGTTGGCCTCGTGCCTGTGCAAACAAGAACCTTTTCCATCAGTTCCATGCAAAATTCAGTGTCACACAAGAATACCAAGCGCAGCATTTCCCTCTCCTCATCCTGGTAAATGAGCAACTGTCACTTCAGTAACGATCACTGAGCTGTTGGGGCTTGGTGCGTGCACTGAAGGACTTCCTTTGTTGCAGAGCTCTGAGGAAATGAGGAGCAGGGGAGGAGGATTCAGCAGCGCCTTTGTTGCTCAGCTGGCGTATGCTGTTAAATCATTATCTGGCACAGCTGACCTGGAAGTCTGCAGCACCCACTCTAAATAAGAAATCTCAATAAATAGATATCTACAAATTTGAAGCAGATCAAAGCAGATACTTTTATTGAAATAATTTGTACTTCTGTTAAAACAGTAAAAGGAATCAGGTTCTTTAAGCATGCTGTAGCATAGCCAGCCTTATCCTTTTGTTCTCGTGTGGTGTTCTGCACCAACAGTAAGAATGAAAACACTTGGATAGGGGATAGCAAATGCCGTGATGCAGAGTCCCCTCACTTCTGTTACGTGCTTTCATGATGAGCTTTGGTTGACATGGACAGTGTAGTGTTACATGTAAAAACAAAGTTTTGCCTTTTAGGGTTTTGCAAAGTTGCACAGTTATAGAGGTAACAAGATTGTTTCTCAAGTCTGCTTTAAAAGAAAGTGGGGAAAAAAAAAAAAAAAAGGTGCCAGGAGAATGGTACCAAAATAACTTTGTTTTTCATGGTAATTTCTTTTTTTTTCTTTTCAATCATGTAAAAACTAACACTTGGCTATAGTTTAAGAAACTTGTCATGGAAACATAGAATCTCAAGTCGTATGGCCTACGTGGGGAAAAGCCAAATATGACACATCTTGTAAATATCAACTTGGAGACTTTCTCAGAAAGTAGATGCCATTAAATGTCCAGCATTGTGTGTGTTGAGTATTTGGGAATGGTTAATGACACTGTTGCCCGCCCTTTGTTACTGATTTCCTCGCAATAACTTTTATCTGTCATCGCTCAAGGGGATAAAGAGCTAAATTGTCAGTGGAGGCTGGGCTTGCAAAAGCAGCTGTTTCTCTGACCTGAGTAGCTGTGCTTGAAACAATGGTGTATCAGTTGAGAATGACATAGTTTTATTTATTTGTTTTTATTTTTGAGGTTGTTTGTGTAAGGTTAAAGCAATAAATCACAATTACGATTGCTAACAACCCCCTCTCCTCTGTTTTTCACTAGGTGGCAGTGAAAGTAATTGACAAGAAAAGAGCCAAAAAGGACACTTATGTCACCAAGAATCTACGGCGGGAAGGGCAGATCCAGCAGATGATCCGCCACCCAAACATCGCCCAGCTGCTGGATATTCTGGAAACTGAAAACAGCTATTACCTTGTCATGGAGCTGTGCCCTGGCGGCAACCTGATGCACAAGATCTATGAGAAAAAGAGACTTGAAGAGCATGAAGCACGCAAATACATCAGGCAGCTCATTCTGGCAGTAGAACATCTTCATCGGGCAGGCGTAGTTCACAGGTAATCTTAAAAACCCTCTCTGGAACAAACGTGTCCCAGAAGTGGTATCTATGCATGTATTTACATAGCAAGGTGACTTCTTTTTCAAAATGTATTCCAGCCAGCTTTTTGGCTCATCTTTATGATACCATTTAGATGTTCAAATTTTAGACAATAAAGGTATCTCCAGAAAGCACTTGCCTGAAAGTTTAACTTCAGGTGAACACAGAGGAGCTGCACCAACTCCATGTCCTTAAGCATAGGCCCATAGCACTGTAGTACTATTTTGCCTCTGAAGCTCTGTACCACTGTTACCTAATGGGCAGCTGCACTGTTCCTTTGAAGACGTTGTCTCTGCTGTTTTGCAGGTGGAAGTGCAGCAGTGTAGGGAGATGAACCCATTTGCTCAATATCAATCAGTGACACAGATGGGATGAACCATAGAATCATTAAGGCTGGAAAAGATCTCTAAGATCACCCAGTTCGATCACCATGCCCACTGCCCCCATCCCTCAGTGCCACATCCACACGGATCCTGAACACCTCCAGGGACGGTGACTGCACCACCTCCCTGGGCAGCCTGTGCCACTGCCTCACCGCTCTTGCTGAGAAGAAATTTCTCCTAATATCCAATCTGAAGCCTGGTTGGGATGGGACCACAAAAGTCCCTCGTTTGTCCTTCACTGCTCTTTCCACTAATCACCCCAATGAGACTTCACAAGACTGGAGAAAGGAGTACAATGCAGGGCTTGTGGCTGTTCAGTTCGTCTCACAGTATCTTCTCAGGAGAATCTCAGAGCTGATGCTCTGTGATGTGTTTCTTTCTTTAGGACCTTCTTTTAATCAGTATATAAGCAGGATGTGGATCTCCTTGCAGAAGGATGCTGTAGTTAAAAGTTCACCTTAGCTCAGGGAGAAATAGGACAAGTTAATCATGCAGAAGTCTGCTGAGGGTTACAGAATAAAGTATAGCCATAATATATCTCTGCCTGAAGTCCATGAGCAGCACCTGGTAGAGGCTGGGAGAGTGCAGGTGGAGATATCACACATGACTGCCTGTCCCTGTTTCCTTCTCCAATTCTGTGCTCTTGGCTGCTATGGAGACAGGAGGATGGTGGGCTGAGCGTACCTTTGGTCTGACCCAGTATGTCTCTTATTCTGTTCTTAGGTGTATTTATAGGGAGCTGTCTAAGAAAGAGACCACACTTTCTAAATTTGGGCCAACTGGAGTTAAGTCTGAACTCCCACAGACTTTGCCATGTGACACCGTGCAAGTCGTGTAGGCCCCATCCTCTCAGTATCAGGAGCCAGGCACCTGGATACTTCTGCAGATCTGCATCTTAGTCTCCTTACCGTGCTTACAGTGTAGAAGATGAGAGCTGTCATAGGCACCAGTCCACAGGGCCGCTGTGCAGACAGTAGCCCTCCAGTTGTGCCCATCTGGCCCCAAAGCTGCTTTTTTTGGTCTTAAGGACCCTCTGCTTGTTCCCTGTGATCCATTAGGGATTGGTGCCATGAGGACAGATAACCTCGGGTGCACTGAGGTCTTATCTGAAGCTAAACTTCTGGTACCACTGTAATACAAATATTTGAGCAGCAGCTAGGTTTGGTCTGCAGGTTCTCTATCAGCAGTTGAACTCCTGACCTTTTTAAATTATTAACCCCACAGTTTGGGGCATTGGAAAGGAGAAAATCTACTTACTGCTTTAGGGGATCAATTTGTATCCCATACATATGGAAAGGGGGTCAGGAAGAAGGAGAAAGGTCAACATTTCCGAGGTGGGCGGAGAAAAAGCTGTCAGGAAGAGATGAGGATGTTGAGCTGCTAGCAGCAGAACCTCTCACTGGAAAATCTGCCCTCTTCTTGCTGGCGTGATGTACAGTGTAATTATGAGGGGCTGGCAGGACTGGTTCCCCTCTTGATCAGAGAAGATTCAGACCCATGTTATTCATCCAGATAACTAGCAGGCCCAATTCTGTTTTTACTGTTAAAACATTTTCTCTAGTTTCATTGTTCAGCATCTTCAGTCATGCTGTTAACAAGGTACGTAGGGCAGCATGGGGACACAAAAAACACGGGCAGCCCAATCCAGATTTCTTCTCCCTCTTTTGCATGCAGAGAGATGAGAGAAAGACTGGTAGTCACCGCTAGAGCTGTCCTTCAGCTTCTTGGGCTATTGACTGCGGCAGCTCTAAAAACAGACTACTCAGCTGAAGAGGGGGAAAAAATAGTGCAGAAGGCTGATTCATGCTCACCCTGGATGAAATGACAGTGTTCTGTTGTTGTTATTATTGTTATTTTTAAAGCAGGTAAAAATAACGGCGCTTTCATTGAGGTGGTGGTGGTGATCTGTGGGCGTTTGCAGTCGCTGTGTGTGAAACAAAACACGGCGCTGTAGGCTGGAAAGCGGTGTGCTGTTTGCCTCTCTCAAAATACTTGCATCATTCACACCGATTTGGGTAGAGCATTGAAAAGTATTCACTGAACCACTGATTACAAAAGTCACCAGCATTTTGTCTGCATTATACAGGGAATAATCTAGATCGCTTGCTGCCTTCTATAATTCAGGGTGAAAAAGAAGCCGAAAATAAGTTGTATGAAATTGGAATACATTATTTGATGAATATTACTCAGCTAGCTTCATGCTTTTCAATCAAGACTTGGCGTGATAGAAAAGCACACGGTTCTTTGGAAAAGAGTTGGGACCCAGAACTCAAAAGCAATGCTTCTTTTCGGAAGCAGTAGGACATGCAAGCAGTCTGAAAAAAAACATCAAGAAATCTCATTTTATTTAGAGAGGGCAAAAAACCCACACAATGAGTTTGACTCTATTTTAAATGATAAGTATTTCATTTCCTATGGTGTACAAGATCTGCAAGCTCCCCAGTGCAGGAACGGTCTCTTTGCTGAGTCCTGTTTTCAGAACTCTTTGACTGCTTTCCTGAAAAAGAAAATTCTGCTCTTCTAAATATAATTTCACATAATCGTTTGTGTTTCATTCCTTTTATCAGCAGAGTTGGTTGGCTGCTAAAAATACGACTTGCAACAAGCTTAGCTGTGAATCAGGTAGGAATTATTTATCTTTCCCTCTGACAGAGGAAAACAAACCCAAATGGCAGTATCTGGTGAAGCTTTCTCTTTTCAAAGGGTGTTTACACAGGCCTTCATGCTGTCAAAAGGCAGGATGAACAATAAGCCCCTTGGGAGAGTAAGGGCAACAGAGAAAACGAAGTGAAAGCCTTGGTGCTTGCAACTGCATCCCACAGGAAATTCTCAACAACCCTTTTAAGTCATTTTAACAAAATTCAATCCCATTCAGTGCAATTACTGTCAGGATGTCAAAGAAAAGAATTTAATAATGTATTGGTAGTGAAGGTAGCTTTCTGTGTTCTCCCTTCTCCAGTCTCTGTGGCAGTATATTCATACCTTCCTCTGCCATTTTGTAATTAAAAGCAGAAAAGGAGTTTGAAAGACAAAAGAATATACCTGAGGTTTTGAGCAGAGTTTTTATATTATTCCATAGTCTCCTGTCCTTTCCCTGGCACACCCAGAAGAGTAAGGTGATGTCATGATGAGTTGCTCAGGGTGTTTCAGGAGTCCTGCCTTGGTACCCGCTGCTTTGACATGTTGGCTTTGGTAACTTCCCTCTTATTAATTTTAAGTGCCAGTAGTCTACCTGCTGATGCAGTGTTTGTGACAGCGCTACAGAACAAAGTCTCCTTTTGAAGTGCAAAGCTGGTTTGTCTTTCTATTTTATGTCACATTTCAAAACTACCTTTGGGCATTCTCTCTTGGATTGCTCTGCTGTAAACAAACTGAACATTGTGTTAGTAAAAACAATGGACTGAAATCCGCATTTACAGACGCAGCCGCATTGAACTTAGGGACTTTGTGACTGATAGAAGCAAAAAGGAGGAAATAACGCTTTGATAACAAAGCAATGTCTTTGAAGCGCCTGATAAGATGATGATGAACCCAAGTCTCTACACCCTTTCCAGCTCTTTCATGGGGCTACAAAGTGAGCTTGTGGGCTGGGGCTACTAAGTGAGCTTGTGGGTTGGTAGTTGAGGTGTGATTTTATGTGGCATGGGTCTGAGATAGCTTGCTCGATGCAGCAGGCTTGTGTTGCTTAATGGAGCTGCTGGCTTGAGTAAGGGTTTCCAGAGTGGTCTGTGAAGCTTTATGCAGAGCCAGGGAAAAATCAGCCCTATGAACAAAAGAAGAAACTCCAAATCCAGACAGGCTGTCCTATGCAGCATGTCCCACTCTCAAGAAGGGAAACTGACGATCTTCAGCAACTTGGTTTCTTCTCCCAGTCTTGATTCTACCTACTGTGCTACCTGCACAGCTGCACAGCTCTCCCAGTCACAAAGCAGCTGTGTCCAACTCCACAAACCTTTTGAAAAGTGCAAGCCACATGCAAAATTATGGGGACCTGCAGGGACCTGTGTGTATGCTTAGTACTTAATTGCTCTGGGACTTCCCATTGACTTCCAAGAAGGACTTCAAGTCTTATATGAGTCATAGTAAGTAGCTTGTATTCTGTGTTGCAGTATACAGCCATTAAAAACAAGCAAAAAATAAAAAAATAAAATAAAACCCCAGAATAAATATGCTGGAATGTTTTCTTTTTATGTTTGTATGTTAAACTGATTGTAATATTGTGCATAAAATTCAGTGTTCCCTAACTTTTGAGTGCAGTGGTGCTGTTTTTCCCATTGCAATAAGTTAACAGAAATATTCAAACAAAGTAGTGACTCAGGTAAGTCAGGTAAATACAATGATGACAATAATAATCATGATAAACCAAAACCAACTCTGTCCATGCACTTAAGCTGGAACCGGACAAAACTCACGTAATAAAGCATTTAGGAACTTGAGCAAAAGTCTGTCCTGTCTCTACAAGGTGACCTTAAAACAGATATAAAACTTAGATTGTACAACTACACTTTTTGTCAAAAATACATAGCAGGTAATTTGGTGTATTGTTAAAGTCACCTAAAGCAGTCACAGAATAACCCCTCCATTCCAACTGGCCTCATTCTTGTCCAGACCAGTAGGCTCTATTTGTAGTCCTGCAGCCCTGGCGATGGGTGCCAGGTTCTTGCTGAATGTCAGCACTGGTCTTCTGTGTGCACTGCTGGTGGAGTGACTGCTCAGAAGGATTGGGCTGCTTCATGGTACTTCGTGTGGGCTTCATGCCCACTGGAAAGTCTGTGTCCATAGCTGCAGTGGATCTCCAGCTGTGGTCTAGTCCAGCTTTTCTTGATCTGGTTTTGTACTGGCTTTGTCTTGCTGAGTCTGATTAACATGGAATCTTCTCATTAGACTGTACCAAGGAGTGAAAATATGCTGTTGTAGTTTTCAGCATCACACAAGAAGTAGGGCTTTCGTGTTGATGTGGACTGACAAAAACGTAGTACATGTGAATGTTAGATCAGCTACCACTTACTGGCAAGTCTGCTGAGAACAGACACGTGGCTGAATGGCTTTAATTAACCAGGTCTGATTGCTGACTATACTGAGGCTCTTATTTTTCTCTGGTAGCTCTAAGATTCCCCCTTAATGTTTATCCTTGCTTTTAACATTGAATGCTTTTAAATGTCTTGCATTTGTTTTTAGCTCTTCTGTTGCTCATTTGTTATTCTAATTGCATTTCTTCTCACGTCAACTTATAGTTTTCATCTTTCCATCCTCTTTCCTTTAGTTTTAAAAGCTTACCTTTTCTTTGCTGATGTTTAAGGTACTCAGAACTTTCAAATCTCCATGCTTCTTGCTTTGAGTGATTGTGCTGAGTATTTCAGCATATGACTTGAAACCCCATTTACTTCTATTGATTTTTCAAGTCTTTTTTTTCTTTCCCATGCTGTTTTTTTGGCACTCTCCCCTGTTAAATACCCGGCCCCGATATCTTTTTAGAGGCTAATCACACTGTCTGTGGAAAAATCTCCATCTGCAAGCAATAAAGGCGTGACACGTGAAGAAATAAACCCTTTTTTGGCAGTGGGGGGAAGCAGAAGTGGGTTGATCTGAATCCATCTGGCAAGGCATATCAGTCTTGTACCAAGCAATTGCTCAGCCGTGGTGGCTGCCATACAACAGAAGCTCCCTTTGGAGGAGGCAGAGAGGTGGATCTGTAGCATGTTGTGTTGTATGAAATTTCCTGCAAAGAGAGGAATGCCACTGAATAGCTGAAATTCATTAAAAAAATTTTTTTGATAGGTATATGTATTATTTGTCCAATTTCTTTTTCTGCGTGAACTAAGGAAAATCTCCAGGAAGGGCTAAGTAGGGTATGGAAACATCTGTTGGGGGAAGATCTTTGTATTGATGAAGTGAGTGTCATCCTACATACAAATACTTTTCTTACACAGTTTTATTTGTAACGTAGCATGGGCATAAAATGAAGTGGAGAGGAGCATTTTAAAGAAGGCCTGGAGTTGGTCACAGCTATTTTTCTTTCTTTCCCATGTTCTTTACGCTTTGTTTGGTTTGGTTGGTTTACCTGTCTTACCTTATTAAGCATTTTATCTTCATCTGCAGTATTCCTCATTAGTCCCTTTGCCGTACAGAGGCAAAATACCATGGATGTCACTGCCTTCCTGTAATTATAGCTGATGTCTTTATTATCTAGTTTTTTTCCAAAGCATACTGGGAGAAGTATCACTGCCAGTCTGAGCTATTGAACTCCCAGCATGCTAATAGTTAGAAATATTTTTCTAACGTCTGGATTGCAGAAAAATTCTTGTAATAAAGACACAACCAACTGCTAGAAGTCATGGAGTGGTTTTTCATGTTATAATTAACTCTTATACTGTATAGAACAGTTTGAGGTTTGGGGTTGTTTTGGTGGGGCCGAGGTAAGGAGGGATAGGGTGAGGAATGATCTCTGGGAATTTTTTTTTAACATGGATTGTGATTTAGGAAAACACAGCCACAGTCACAAATGATGAAGAGCACTTGTGAACGCTTACTTCATTTTACATGTCAGCAGGACATTCAGTGATCGTGTAGAAGAGGACTGGTTTTGTTTCTCCTCCCACCCAAAACACTGGCTCTGGCCCCCTGCATTGTAGACAATAGCAGAGAAGAGCCATTTGGCTCCTCAGGTATCTGCAGAAGACAGTTTCTTGAAGAAGATTATCAGAACTAATGAGAAGATGACCTGCAATTGAAAAACAGATTTGAAAGATTTCCTTGTACAAGGTTTTTGCAGACTTGGATAAGAAATTCTAAGAATCTGATTAGGAGATACTGACAAATGTTTGTAAATTCATTTTGTGTGTGAAGAATTGGAGTGAACGTCTGTGTGAAGGCACTGGTAATTATGTAGAGAGTACAATGCATGGAGCTTTCTGCTTTGAATGTGAAACTGTGTGTGCTGGTTTCATAATACCCGTTATTATATTTGCATCTTGTAAAGAAACTGATGAAAGTGATGGGAAATTGCTTCATTATTTCAGAGCCTCACTCAAAATATTTTATTTCTTTCAGAGACTTGAAGATAGAAAATCTGTTGCTAGATGAAGACAACAATATCAAGCTCATTGGTATGAACCTAGTTTGGCAATTCCAGTATTTAAAATTGGTAATTTTATAAAGAGAATTTTTGAGTCTTCATAACCATCCATGTGACAACTGCTAATGTTGCTGCAGAGAGGAGCTGGGAGAATATAGATAGCAATCAAGCTGTTCCTGACAGCTTCTTGTGAAAGAATGTTCCAGTTATTTCAGCTTTAACTGGGTATAGGCATAATCCTTCATCTTCTAACAAGTGACTTTCCTGTTTAAATTAGGAACCTTGAAAGAATTAGAGAACTAGCACTACAGAAGTCATTTATTTTATTAGCTTTATAATTTTGTATTTACTGAGGGATGGATTCTGCCCCCATATGCATATGCTTCCGCTGAAGTCAGTGGGAGTCGTACACATTTTTAGCAGCTGGCAAAATTTGGTCCTCTATTTATATTCTTTAAGTTTGATTCCAGAACCTGAAAAGAAATTGTTTTAGAGGGCTGTTTAAAAAATAAAAAGATTAATTAAAAAATAGAGACTTTGTTGTATTCAAGAATCAGTTGTATGCAGTGCTCGATTCATTCAAGTTGAGCAGACATTTTAGATTAATCATCAGTGGGTGTACTTTCTCACTGCCTTTGCATAACTCCCATTAATGCTAATGTGTGCACTGAAAAGAAAATATGCCCTTCGTTAAAAAAAATAATAAACATTTATGTTTATTTCCTTGCCTCCATTTTTGCCAACAGCAGTGTCCGTGGTTGCAGACTTAAAACGCTTGCCTGACTTTCTTCAAAAGGTTTCATCATCTGAAAAGGAATGAAAAACACTTAACATTGAGGTCAAATGGACAGTCACTGTAATATATAAAGCACATACGTCTCCAAACAAACAAGGAGAGGGTGGTTAATTAAATTTGAAATTCTTAAAAATTACTTAGGGAATTCAGTCTCTAGAAGAATTACCACAACTTTTAGTTGGTACTCTGTAGTAAATCAAATGTCTCTGGAAAAATATTAGCAAAAGATAATGCTGCATTACGTCAGTTACGGGTCAAGAGGATACTGATATGTTACCATGAATCATTCATCAGTAATGATGGATACCACCCATTATCTTGATTTAGCGGATAAGTGAGACCAGATGGTTTGCAATAGTGCTGTATGAACATCTGATAGATTTAAAGAATTTCTATAACTTTCCTGTTATTGAGTGTTTGATTACACAACGCTATGTGAACTTGACATCCAAAACCAAATCTAATCAGATGATATGTGTTCAATTTAAACTTACATGCCGAAAAAGAACTTCAGAGCTGTTCCTGCAGTTTAAGTTGCTTCAGTTGCATAGAAAGGTCTCCTCACAGTGGGTGGTGTGGGATGCATAGAGAAAGAGACAGATCTGTAGCCCAGCTAGCATTGAGATAAATTGTCTTCAGGTCTGCAGCCTGATGTTTTTAAGCAGATTGTACACGGTATGTATTTTAAAACAAAGCAATTACAGCCCACTGTCCAGCTGGGTATGTTATTGAAAAATAAAGGTTACTTTATTAGTAATAATTTCACTGTAAGCAAAAACAGATTGAAAATCAGTCAGCTCAAACACTTGCATTTTATCAACAGTCAGCTGAAGTCCGTTGTTTCCTCTCCTCCCATTCCCAAAGGAAAATCTCTGATCTAATATTCCAGAAAAGCCACTACTTGATTAAACAGCCCCAGACGGTTAGGATTTGTTTTCTGGTACAAACTGAATATCCCACGTCCTGCTTCTGTGCATCACACTCAAGGGAAATGTTTCAGCACCTGTCTGGAGCTGGTGGAGTATACCTGATCATTTTCTTCTCATTCTCCTTCTTGCTTGTTCCCTCACTCAAATCATTCCACTTTTAGTAAAGTATGTAGTGTCTTCCTAGAAACATGATGAATCAGTTTCGTTGTCGCATACTGTAGCCCAGGAGAGTTCAGCACTAGCAAAGAGTGTTTTGAGGGATTATGTGCTGCTTTTCATGCTTTCAAGGAAAGACACTGCAATACAAAGCATCTCACTAACTGCTTTGGGGTAGGAGTTTACTCTCCACGTCTGGTGCAGCAGCAGACACTCTAGCATCTAAAAATGGAAGATGAAAAATGTAATGTAAAGTGACATTGAAAGTTCCTACTTGTTCATGCATTTCAGTGAGAACTGAATCCTTTGAGTGCCTTTCTTCATCCAGCTGCTTAATGACACTTTTTTTGGTTGGAATATATTCTTAGATAGTATTATTAGAAAAATTCCATTTGCTGTGTTAAGTAGACTTATTCTTATCTGCCTGGTAAGTCTCAAATCTGAGAACACTGGGAGTGGAAATGCTGGAAGTAATTCACTTCTCTTTATCTACCAGCCAGTAGTGGCAGGTGTCCGATAAAGGTGCCATGAAAGGTCACTCACAGAGCATGTGAAGCCCTTGGCAGTCTGCTCAAGGACCTGCAGCACCAAAAGGACCTTGCCTATATGTAGCTCTGCTGAGGTCTCTGAAGTGCTGCTGGCGTACACAGAGGTCAAACTTGTCCATGAGCTCTCGTTTTGTACTAAGGCTTGTGCTATTAAATAGTTTCTTTGATATCCCAACTGTCACAGCTTCAGAGATAGCCATGTACCCATAGCTTAATGTTGTAATGTTGATTTCCTGGAGGCGTTGAGAAGTAGCGTAATGCGATACTTCGATAGCATGAAGAGTGGGGGTGGTGGTGCTTCCATGTCATAATATTTACGCTGGAAAACCAAGTATGGCCTTTGATCTGAAATCTGTAATTAGCTAGGCTTATTGAAAGAAGCCCAAGACAGAGACAGGAGTAGCAGTAAAGTTATCAGTGCTAGTGGTAATTCCGTTCCTATTGAGATTAAAAGTGCATCCTTAATGCTAATCAGCCTGTGATTGCGATGTGCTGCTATGGTATTCATAACAATATTCCCATTTATTTTGCAATGAAATCCCTGTCTCCAGTTTGCATGTGTTTGCACACATTTTTAATTCCAACAGACAGGAAAAAAAAAAAAGTACACCAGCTGAGTTTTAATGAACGAGCACAAGTCAGTGAGATGTTTGTCGTTTAAGCAGATAGGATAGTGAAAACTTTCACAGGAGGTTACCTCCACTGATAATGACAAGCAGATGCTAGTTTACACCAGGTCAGTATATAAACATTATGTAGTTGATTGTAAAGCACTGTATTGCAGTCAAGTAATTTTGAGGTGATATGTCATAGCAGGATAAAGACCGTGACTAATATGTCGTAGAGGTATTATTTGTAGGAGTTTTTTAAAGTATTTAACAGTTGACATAACCTCTCTCAGGCCATAGCTAATAAATAAATTAATTAAGTGGTTCCTCAGAAGTATTTGTATAAGCCCCAGGGATAACACATATCTAGCGAAGATGTTTAAACAGTGTACAGAGACAGTTATTTTCCATCAGAGGCAAGGAAATTGCCTTGATCCTCCCTTCAGCTGTTATAGTGCACTCCAGCAAAACCCTTTGAGCCTCTTTGACTATTTAAATATGGTTGTGCTGCAGTTGCTTCCCTCTCAGAGAGCCGGCCAGTCCACACTGTTCTTTAGGTGCTCCAACCCATACAGTCACTTTTATATGTGTATGTTTTGTAAGTATTATTTGTTTTTAGCCCCACTTCATAAAGGAACAAGGCTTACATGAATGCCTTGCCAGGGTGCTTTTAATACTGTAAGGGACTCCTGTCTGATTTCTGTCATATTTGGCATGAATTGAATACTAAAGGATAGACTATTACTTCAAGTCTTATGCAAATAAGCAGGCAAATAAGGGAGAGAGACCCTAATTAGTGGAAGAAGATGTGGGCTCAGCAGTTACTTCTCATATTTGGTCTACAAGATGCAATGCTTTGAGCCCAGTCAAGCAGGTGGGTTACACACCCAGAAGGCTGCTACTTTATGAGATGTGTGGATGCAAGACACAACTCTATAGGAGCAGGTTTCAGTGGTCTGCTACTTTGGGCTGCCTTATTTATATGTAAGATCATTTTCATTTTAAACATACTGATATTCTGAGAAGTTTTAAGAAGACTGAATGAATAGAAAAGGAGATAAACAGATGTCAGTGTTCCTGATACTAGTATTTTTGTTGCAGCTATCATGAATAGCAAGCTATTAATAAATGTGAACATCTTTGTGACTATTCTAAGTCTTCTACTCATTGGATATATTGCCCTGCTGCAGAGGCAGATTTCCCAGCCTGTTAGCTTTGCCCACATTGCCCTAATCCTTGTGAGTTTGCCGCCCTTCTTCCCCTTTATTATGTCATAGAATCAAATAATCTTTATGATCAGTAAAATCATCCAGTCCAACCATGAAGCCATGCCTGAGACTGCTCTAGTCCACGTCCCTCAGTGCCACATCCACACGGCTCTTGAACACCTCCAGGGACGGTGACTGCATCACCTCCCTGGGCAGCCTGTGCCACTGCCTCACCATGCAGGCTGAGAAATGTTTTTTCCTAACATCCAGCCTGCCCCTCCCCTGATGCAACTTGAGGCCATTCCCTCTCTTCCTATCTCTTTTACCTGGGAGAAGACCCCCACCTCAGCACAACGTCCTTTCAGGTGGTTGTAAAGAGTGATGAGGTCTTCCCTGAGCCTATTCTTCTCCAAACTGAACAACCCCAGTTCCCTCAGCTGCTCCCCATCAGACTTGTGCTCCAGATCCCTCACAGCTTTGCTGCCCTTCTCTGGACACACTCCAGGGCCTTGAGGTCTTTCTTTTAGTGAGATGCCCAAAACTGAACAAAGTATTCCAGATGAGGCCTCACCAGCAGGTTGTTTGTCCTCTTTCAAGACCCTATGCAACTCCTCCTTGCTTTCCCTTGTCATCTCTGATGCTGTGACTTCTTAATTGCTTTCTACCAAGCCAAGCGTGGGCCACGAGGCAGGGTGGGCCTGCATGCCCTGACTGCATGTTGCTCCTGGCCTCTTCTGCCACTGCTGCTGACCAAGCCACAGGCCATTTTTACAGCTGCTCTCTCCTAATTTCTGTTCTTGCTTAGTGTTTTAATTTTTTAAGATCCTTCTGAAACACAGCTCACCCTGAAGCCATACCAGTGCTGGAGCAGACAAAGGAGATGGGGAGAACACCCTCCATGGCACCAGCCTGGGCTTGGGCTGGCAGAGAGCACTGCAGTCTCCTTCAGTGCTGAGGGACCATGTCTTGCTCCTCATCACTTCATGAAGCCAACTTTTGCCAGTCCCTTGCTGTTCCTGCCAGCAGAGAACATCATATACACCCAGGGGCCAGAAATGGTGTAATTCAAGACAGAAAAAGAGGGAGAGAGCCAAATCAACACCTTCCCCTTCTTGCTCCAAGATCTCCCTGCATTGGTTTAGAGTTGAAATGCTGACGCTGCAACCCTTACTGTGTGTAGTAGTTATAGAAAGCAACCTCCCTGCCTTAAATCTGATGGCTCCTTTAAATGAAATAAAGGAAAATGTTGAAGAAGCAATACTTAGACTCCTAGCAAAGCACTTGCACAGTACGGAATCCCTGACTGCCCAAAGCTAGTTTCTTCCCCGTGGCCATCATGTACTGCATGGCACAAACTCAACTCCAATTGAGCTGTCCAGTTTTGAGTGAAACAATTGCTTTGTCTATAAAACTGATATTCATGCATGTTCTGAGACTTTTTTTTGTTGCTTGTCAAAGCCTCTTTTGATTTAGCACAAATTGTAGACAATTTTTCATGTGATCGATTTTTTCTTAGGCAGTTCATTGCATAGCTTTTGGTTAAAATGTGCCTTTTCCCTTTTCTGTTTTGCTGTTTTACAGTTTTGCTGTATCTGTCTCTTTCATAACTGTGTCTCTATGCTTTTCACAGACTTTGGACTGAGCAACTGTGCAGGCATCCTGGGTTATTCTGATCCATTCAGCACCCAGTGTGGGAGCCCAGCATATGCAGCCCCTGAACTTCTGGCAAGGAAAAAATATGGGCCCAAAATAGACGTTTGGTCCATGTGAGTTACTTCTCTAGTTTATAATTTTTTATTTTTATTGTTGTTCAAATGAGAAATAGGCAAGAAAATCTGTTTAATTAGCATGACTCTTTGAACTATTTTGTATGAATATCTTGATTTGAAAGAGAGCTTTTGCATAACCGTATGTAGATTGATAGAAAGCAGAACAGGGTGTGATTGCAGTAAAGCCCAACTTGATCGATGACTTTGAGACACATGTTGTGTCTTCTGTCACAAGATGATGAACATTTTTTTCATTTTCCCTGAAGGATCCTCAAGCTTTTACACAGTCTCTGTGCACTATCCACAGTCAAGTCTGGCAGAAGATGTGAAATCCATTCCAGTCATCATTTTGAAAGCATAGCAGTTAGAAGGGAAGAAGAAATGGCCAGAATATTTGTGATCCTGAGCACCTACCAGTGTTTAGGCAAAAGAATAGACAGTGACAGAGGAAGCTAAAAAGGTGTTCTGGTTGGCTATGGTGTCAGTTATCATTGCCTGTCCTGAAGCAGAATTAGATGAAATCAGCTAACTTTTAGCTTTTATTAATATCTGACAGTTTACCCTCACCAGTGAACTGGGGATAATAAAATATTAATAAATTTAAATAAAATTATGGAATTGTATTGTTTCCCAAGTTGAAGTGTTTGAAATGCTCTGAAAATAGAAAGTACTGCATAAGTGCTGCTCCTGCTAAGAAAGGTTGGCCATTGTTTATATGTGAGACTAGGACATGGATTAATTAATCTCTCATATTAGTCAGCATTGTGATACCTAAAGACTCTTGAAAACTTCTCCTGTGGAAGCCTGATCCTGTAGCCCATGCTCCAGGGAGACCCACAGCTAAACTGTCAAGCAGCTACTTCATTTCTTACCCTGCAGTGGGCCATCCATCCACATCAAGGGTGAGATTACCAGCCCTGAGGAATGCTCTTACTGGTACTGGAATGCAAACAGAGTACAGTCATTCCTGTAAACCATTTAAACTTCCCCAGTAATAATATCCTGCTTTTTTTTTTTTTTCATCTAAGAAAGAAAAATATGGTTAACCCCTGCCCTTCCTCATAGCTGAACAAATGGTTGCTGTGATCATAGTTCGTAAAAGCACACTGGTTTGGTTTCTTTCTGTTCGCATGCATTCATTCAGCAGACTGGGGAAACCAATTCCCAAAAGGAAGGAATTCCACTCAATTGAATTTAAAGCTCTTTCAAGAGGGAAAAGAATAAGAATCCACTTTTCATCGCTGGCACTGCTGGGTATAAATAAGCAATAAGTTTTCTGCTCTGAAAAATGTGATTGTTCACACCTGATCTTTGTGCTGCACCAGAAGCCATGAGGGTCAGCGGAAACCTTTGTGCACTGAACCAGGACCAGTGATGTTCCTGTTGACATAGGCAGTCATACCCAGGGCAGCAGCAGGACAAGGCTGCTGAAAGCATGGCATTTAAGCAGCCTGATGGGAGGCATAACTGTGAAGCAAAATTGATTAAGAGTTTGCCTGACAGCTGGGCTTGGTTCTATGAGTCCCAGCTTATGTCGTACAAGTTGTGTGACCCTCCATGAGCAAACCTCTGCAAATTCGTGCCCAAGTCATTGTGCACAACAGAAGAGTTCCTAATAACTGTCAGATATTAAAGATGACATACAGTCAGAAAGTCTAAGCCTAATTATTTTCTTGTTCCTAATTATTTTGGTTTCTTTTTCTGTTTTCTTTTAGTGGGGTGAACATGTACGCGATGTTGACTGGAACATTACCTTTTACTGTGGAGCCATTCAGCTTAAGAGCTTTGTACCAGAAAATGGTGGACAAAGAAATGAACCCTTTCCCCACACAACTCTCCACAGGTAATCAAAAAAGTGCGTTCAGACCTATTCAGATCCAGTTGGTTGGAACCATTGCTTTGAATTTTGGATTGCAAGTCGTGTTACCAGCATGGCATGCTAATTGTGAAAAATGGTCTTTTTGATTTTAGTCTTGAGCAGATCTGCAGGAGTTGTTGCAGTATAACTCCTTTTGCTTTAACACTTGTGTATAAACTGGAGAAACAGCAAGTTGTACTGAATATGAGAGAGGAACAAATCTGTGAAAGCCAGTGAAATTGCTTTCACAGAATATCTGGTCAGTTTTGCATGTTCAGATATTTTAGCATAGGTTTTGGATATATAAACACATTATTTTGGAGTAACACATTCTTGGGAGTTATCATGATTAGGATTGTGTGATCATAGAATCATAGAATGGCTTGGGTAAGCTACCTTGAATGACCTCACATGCGTCGTGAAGTAATGACACACACACAGGAAGTTATTTTGGGACAGTGACCTGTGATAAACTTTGTGTGTTCATCAAATGCAAACTTGTTGTTGCATTAATATTAGAAAAATTAGTTTTTCTTCAAAGCCATGTCACTAGGCAACAGAATCATTTTTCAGCTTATAGCAAGACTGTGTCAGCATTTGGAATAAACTGCTTTGTACTTTAGTTTTATTTTTGTGTGCTAGATTTGATGTTCATGGAGAGCTTTTGTTCTTGTCTGGCAAACTGTTTGCAAGGAAATTAAAAGATTGCTAATAGAAAAAGGGTGAATGATAGTGTATTTTCAGTCAGTACACTAATGACAGCAAACCACTGTCATGGGGTATAAGAAAAAGCCCTTACAAGTTGTTTCACAAGATGAATTCTCCAAGTACAGATTTTCCTACTTGCAGAATAAATAGATAGTTAAGGATTTTCTCACATGGGTTATCTGTGAATGAAGTGGAATATGTTGTTCCTCTTTCACTCAGCATCTGTACGAAGTACATGTTTTCTGCCAGCAATTCATGTTGCTGGCATGTTGTAAAGTGGTAGGTTTACAAGTGATGGGATGCTGCAATCTTGCTTTGTATTTTATGTGGTTGGAGTATTTGCTCTTTCCATTCTGGAGACTCCCCTGTAGGATTCGGTTGCACAAAACCACTGTTTGAATGTTCTACCATACATAGAAGCCCCACTGAGTAAATTAAAATAAAGATTTTACTGGCTGTTTCACACTGTACTGATCTAGAAGCCAAATCTTTTGCATCAATTGCAACATTACTCTTGAATTCAGGGACTTGGATATAGTTGTAAAGATTTGCCAAGTTTGCCAAATAGTTTACTGAACTGACCTCCCACAGTGAAGCTTTTACCAGAAAACAGCTGTTGTTTAATGGTTGTGCAGTAGCTTTGAACTGATGTACTGCCTTCCCAATCATTGTTTTGTTTCAAGCACAGCTATCTTTATGTGGGAGGTTTCACTGACTTTACAGGGAGAACTCGTGTTGAAGTCTCTCGTGTTGAAGTCTGAATCACCCATGAAAGGCCTGGAGAAGACCAGACCTTGTATAGCAAAAAAGAAAATACTACTTTTGACAGGTTCCCTTTTACTGTTTCATTCATCCTACAGTTTTATCATGGAGATCAAATTTTCTCACAGTCACATTTTTTGACATTACGGTCTCCAATGAAAACAGTGTTTTGTTTATCCTCCAAGAACAATAGAAGCTTGAACTTTCAGAGATGATGGAAAATTAGTGGAACAGATTTAAACTTGTTAACCTTTATTCAACAAAGTGTGAACAAAGGTATGCATCAGTCCTTGATTTAAGTCAGCAGATTTGCACATTCACCAACATGGCAAACTGATTTAAGATGACATTTGTTCTTGCCACATTTAGACTTTGGGTCAGTAGATAGAAAATCAGCTGCTCTGCCCTGCAAATTGTTTTATTGGTTAAATCTAGGTAGAGTGACCTTCTTTTTCATAAATCAGGTTTCCTTTTTCTGTAAATTCACCTAGAGATTGCAGAAGAGATATTTTGTAGTAGTATGTTTTGCTTGTTCCTTGTGTTCTCTTTTAACGTTTAACTTCACAGCTGCTGAATGCAGGGCTCCTTTATAAAAGTAGCTGTTCTTATCACCAAACAAGAGTATGCTTTATTTGTATTAGTTACAGTTTTGTGTGACTATGGACACCCAAAGGAACTGTGTAGCAACAGGGAAAACTGTGGGGTTAGTATTTGATTTTCCCACTTAGGAAACAATTTTTCATTAAGCTGCTTACACAACAGAGCTATCTGATTATTGATTTGAGGTGAGCAGAGTTCAGTTGTTAAGAAAGTTGATATTCGCTTTGTATGCATTCCTTTTTTTTTCTTCATGTACTGCTTCTGTGTGTTTATGGTCTTCCTTTCAGACTAGAGAAGTGCATTTGAGACTAAAGAATCTTTCTGAAAAGGTGTTTTTTTAATCCTTAGCTTGTTCACTTGATAAGCTTTCTGTCTAGATGATGGAATTTTTGTTAGAAAATCCCACCTTTCAAATCTGAGAGTCTGAAAGGTAACATCAAGTGACACACTATCTTTTAATCATCACTTACATGTGATCCCCTTTTTAAAGCATGTCAAACACTACCTACCACATGTGCAACTGTGTATTCCATGCTTTTGCAGCAGAGGAGAAGCATTTCCTTTTAAGAGCATTCAGAAGTCAATCACTTAAAACTTCAACAAGCAGGTCAGCTGATAACTTCTGTTTCTTCTGTGAAATACAGGTTAATTGCTATCATCAAATCATTCAATCATCAAGGTTGGAAAGGACCTCTAAGGTCACCTAGTCCAACCATCAGTCAACCCCCACCATGCCCACTGACCGCATCCCTCAGTGCCACACAGCTCTTGAACACCTCCAGGGATGGTGACTCCACCACCTCAATCAATCAGATCCATCCTGGGAAGTTATTGCAGCTCAGCTAAATGTTAACCACTGTCAGGAGCAGAAGAGGCAGTGTTGTCATATGGAGGTGTGTGCAAATTCTTAACAAACACAAGCAATCGTCTGTCCATGCCTGTAGTTCAGAGCTTACTCTGGCACCGTAAAATTAAACAAGCTTATTTCATTTTCTCTGTCCAGTTTCATAAACAACAGCTGTATGCCTGGTTTTAGTCAGGCACCCACTTATACTGTGGCATCCTCTAAACAAGACACTAAGTTCATTTTATTCATGACAAAGCAAATGGAAGCAACAGAGGTCTTGTAGCCCATACCTGAAGCTCTCCCCACTTCTGTTCATTACTGAACTCAATCTATTAAAGATGTTTAAAGAGAAAGGTTTTTGTTTTTTTTTCTCATGGTACTAATCTCTCATTTGTCTAAAGAGCAAACTTTGCCCCAAAGTTACACCATGGAAACAAAATTCCATCAAGTGCAGGTCACTGGCTAATCAGATTAGTGCTGTCCTCGGGTTCGTCATAAATGAGGCCCTCACATTCCCTCACATAATGAAGCATTGGAGGGATAATTCACAGCATCCTTTGTTCATGAAGCTACTTGGTTCAGCATGAAAAGCAGCTTCAGATGGGCCCAAAAACCAGTTCATTCACTTCATGTTTACTTCCTGAGGGATTAATTTTGCTGTCCTGCAGCTGTGTGGCTAAGTGAAAAAGACTCATTCTTCTTTCTACCACCTAACAGCTCAGGTGGGCAAAGGTGCTGCTACAAATCTTCTCATTGCTTGGGTAGCACTGGCAAAGGAGCTTCTCTGGAGTGCTCCCGTCTCTGGAATCAGTTTCCCCTGGTCTGAACCTGCTGCACTTCGTACTGCTTCGCAAGCCGCCTTTAATCAGTCTGTCTTTTGCCAAAGGGAAAAAAACAGTGTCTTTAAGGAGCTGTTAGCTGATGTGGGGGCCGAGGGGGATGGTGGCTGGTTTGGGGAGGGGCTGTTTTGTGTTAGGAAGAGTGCTCTGAACCCATGGGATGCGTGCGGTTTCTAGCGGGAAGCACTGGGAAGAGAGGAACTAAAATGGCAGAACAATGGGGCGCTTGTTTCCCATAACGGAGGGGTTGGCGCCCAAGATGTGATGACGTGCAGGCTTTCAGGGTACGCAGGGAACAGCCCTAACATCAGCTTGCAGGAGATTTATGAACTTGGATGTAGTCTCTTCCTGCTGTTTCCACAATACTGCTGTCGTAAGAAAATAACAGAAATGTTGGGAAAGACTTAAATTGAAGTACCTCACATAAATCAGTGATTTGTGAAGACAGAGCTTAGAAAACACCTAGCTCATGTCTAGCTGGACTGGTAAATACATAATCATAACTCTCTCTCTTCCTAATATAAAATTCTCAGTGCTAGACCTGCATTGCAATGGATATTCTCTCAGGGCCTTCTCTGGCTGATGTCTGATGGTTGCAGGATGGTGAAACTAGAAGTTATCCATGCTGTTAGGTCTTGGCACCTATCAAATCTAATGTTGACTTATTTGATGAGAAACCCTCCCTTGCCCGCTGCTCTGCTCTGATGCATCAGCCCAGCCAGCCTGTCACTTTGGGATCAGAGACCTGAAAATGTTTGGGTTGACAGCCAGGCAAACACAAAGAAGTCTTGTAGAAGAGAACCCCATAAAGGCAGTGGCACTGTGTCTAGGCTCCTGTTTCCAGACGAATACACTGTGAGCAGGCATATTGTTCTTCTTCAGCTGAATATGGGAGGAAGGATTCATAAGGGTTTCACAGTGGTGTTGGTGAAGATGAGTCACGGCTGCTGTCCTTCAGAATAGGGGACAGTATTTCCATTTCAGGCTCTTTAACTCCTTCACACATAGAATCATAGAATGGCTGAAGTTGGAAGGGACCCCAAGGATCATCAAGTTCCAACCCCCCTGCCACAGGCAGGGCCACCGACCTCCAGATCTGGTGCTAGACCAGGTTGCCTAGGGCCCCATCCAACCTGGTCTTGAACATCTCCAGGGATGGACTCTGAGAAGAATCCAAAGATATTAAATATTTCACCAAGTCATGGGCAAAGTACGCCAGTGGTCCTATTACTACTGCCCAAGGTCTCTACACAAGGTCTCTGCAAGATTTGGATTCAAGTAGATAAGACATGCACAGGAGAGTCTAGGGAGTGAATTGTGGCTCTGCAGCAGAATGAGGTGGAAAAAAGCCTCCAAATTGCTGTCCTTCCAAGCTGGAGAGAACTGCTGCAGCCATCGTTTTTGTCTTTTGGTTGCCATTGACATCACTCAGGGTGCACTTGGTTTCTCACTTGACTATATCTCCTCTACAAAATTATTCTGGTTTTCGCTTTCCCAGAATTAGGTTTCTTTGTCTTTTGTGTAGGGAATGGTAGAGGACATACTTAACTCGTCATTGACTTGTAGTTGATAAGCTGAATGTAACCTTGATAATTTGAGGAATAAAGACTAGAAACAGTTAACAGAATTTATTTTAAGTTCAGACATTGACTTATTTTGAGTCTTAAAGCAAATCACTTGATTTCATTGTTCGTAAGCGTGTAAGAAGCACATGACTTACAAATACAGGAAAACTACTTTTGAGTTTTTTTGCAAGAAAATCCCAAGAGACGGTTGAATGTCATTGAAAGTTGAAAGTTCAGTATTTGAAAAAAGAATGAAGTCCATTAATTTCACTCTTTTAATTTGTCCAAAACCTCCTGCAACTGATTGTAGTCTGGATGGAAGCCAGAAGAGAATTTCTCCGGTCAATGGGAGCAGAAAACTCAATTCTCCATGTCTTTTCTCCCAGCTCTCCATCCCTCCCCTCCTCTCCACTCAGCCCTAGTCTAACTCTTTCTGTTCTGTACTCTGTATAAGTGATTTTCTAATAACCTCATTTCTCAAACAAAAATGAAGTAAGTTTTGACTAGCTTGCTCAGAAACTTCAAACAAGATTTGTAACAAAAGATGCTTTTTCCGTTTCCTTTATGACTCTATAAATCTTTGTTTATTTCAGTTCCCAATGCTGTATCAAGCTTTCTTTGTTTTTCAGGACATTTGAGCATACTGTATAGAAAAAGTTGCATTTTAGTATGTTCTTGGTCAGGCTACATGGCATAACAACCCAACTGTTGTGTTAAGTCTTAAAGTATATCATTGAATCATAGAATCACAGGTTTGGAAAGGAGCTACAAGATCATCTAGTCCAACCGTCCTCCCACTACCCTTGCTACCACAAACTACTAAACCATATCTTAGAGCTCCACATCCAGATGCCTCTTGAACACTGCCAGGGACAGCAACTCCACCACCTCCCTGGGCATAGGGACATATATATATTTATGGCATATATGACATAGCTATTGTCTTTTCTTGATTTCTTCACAGCGGCCATAAACTTTCTACGATCTCTACTAGAGCCAGATCCTGCAAAGAGACCAAACATCCAGCAGGCACTTGCGAATCGGTGGCTTAATGAGAATTACCCTGGGAGAGCACCACCTAATGTCACATACCCAAACAGGTACAAAAGAGTGGAGAAAACCTGCCAGTGTGTATGTACATTAAAATGTGAACAACTCTCATGGTACATTTTCATTCCTTATATGACAGCATCCCACTGCATTTTCTGAGATTGCTTTTTTGACTCAATTTTTAATGTTATAAGGATTGGTCATTAAATGTGTGCTTCCCAAAGTGGTCAAAAACAGTAGCTTAAATTAGAAGATGGCGTATGATACAGTTATGAGGTAATCCGAAGTGCAGATCATGTGAGCTTAGAATGGACATGTATGAAGACATCACTTGTAGTCTTGTCCTTATTTGTCAGTAGAGCCATGACATTTTCCAATAGAGGCTATACCCATTTCTGATGCATATGTGAGGGTTCTGTGTATTAAGTAAATATGCAGACCGTGGTGAGAAAGGTCAAAGTTAAATAATCTTGCCTTGTTGGTTGTTGATCTTGAATACCTGTGCAGTACTAAATGCGTGACTAAATGCAAACAGATAACAAATCTCACGGCCAGACCAAATTGCAATCTAGGAAAAAACAAGGAAGAAAGAAAAATACTTCTGGTCCACTTAGAAATAATCTTTCTTAACTTTCAGCATCTTTAGTATGGAGTCTTCGCATGAGCCAGTCAACCTGGGCTCTCATTACAGTCAACAGAAAAATTTTTACAGATTGATTTATCTGACTTCTCTCTGATTCTGCAGCAGGATGACATTGTGCCCAGGAGATTCTGCTTTCTCTCCTGTGACTGTAAATGGAGCCTCAGGCAACTCACTTAGAAATGTATGTCTATATTTGATCCGATAAAACCTCCTTCCTGCATCAAAGCCTTTCCACTGTGTCTTACACAATCTCGTACCTGCAGAGGATGTTGTAGGAGTTACTAGCTTGCAGGCCAATATCCAAACCAGCACTGAGGCAGATAGAGCAACTTAAAGCTTAATTTTGGAGCTTAAAATTGATAGTACCTCAGATTTCAGTCCTAACTCACTAATAGGCAAATCACTATGAGAAGAGCCTAACTTCCACCCTATGATTTACTCAAGTGCCAGATCCTGATACAGCATACACCTGAGGGTGTGACAGCCTATCTTTGAATGTCAGAACCACTGTCCTCACTCCGAAGTGATTTGTTGTTCACCAAATAGGCCATCTTTCTATGTTGGTGCCTTGAAGGTCTAAGTGCCTAGGCAAGCTCAGACCATGCATACACAGCCTTGAGCATTCATCTGAAATTACAATTTTGCTGTTAAAAGTGCCTCCACACCTGTTTTCCCCTCTGGTCTTGCTAGCCAGGTGAATCGGACATATTTAAGAGCTGGAGGACCCAACTCTGTGGGGTTGAGAGACACTTTTCCTTCTGTGTGCACAGGGAACTGAGGTGCACTAGTATACTAGCAGGCATTCCCCTTCCAGAGTTAGTGTTTTAAGTACTGTGTTGTGGACAATGATTGTGACTATGTATTTCTTTGACCTGAGCAGAATAAGATGTCTCTCACTCACAAAATATGGTTGGAGAGACACTGAACAGCTCAGATACTTGTTCTCCAAAGGGTGACATCACTAGATCCATCCACTGAAGCATATGTGAGGCTAATTGCATGCATTGGGATCATAGAATCATACATAGAGTGGCTTGATTTGGAAGGGAGACCTTAAAAGTTATCTAGTTCCAACCCTCTGGCTTGGACAGAATTGCCAGCCACAATACTCAGACACATAAGAAAGATTGTTTTGCAGGCAGCAAGATGGAGAACAGGCAGACTCATTATCTCAGCATTACTGCCTGAAATTTAAGGTCAATTGAGTTAATTTGTACAATAAAAGGAAATCTGAGTTTCCATGGTGCATTGGACTGTACTGAAGTGCACTCCACATATGAACATTATATGGTAAAGAAGGAGAAAACAAGTGTAAACTGAATGAGTCGTTAGGCTAATGAAATCACTGCCATAATGAGTCTAATCAATCTACTAAACGTGGCATCTGTTAAATGAATGTAAGTGTAACTGAGAGCTGTATGGGTAATTTAATTCTCTTGCTGAGTGTGTTCTATCTAAGAAGAGGAAAAAAGACAGAAATACAGCTTGAATGTGATTTCAGAATTCTTGTGCGTTTGTAGGTGCATTTTCATGCCTCTGTTTTTGAGTTGTTAGCTTGCAGTTATCAGACCTTAGTCAGGCTGTGATGGAGGTACCACTTCAGAGCTTGCTCACTGGTACAGTTAGGTCAGAGACTCACGAGAGAGACTGGCCTCTACTAGATAGAATAGCTGTGCCATGGTGCTTATGGAGTGCCCATTAATCATTTTCTCCTAAAGGCAAGCAAATCATAAGTGAGAACAGAAGAAAACGCAGAGCTGAACTATAGAGAGGGCATATGTTTGTTCATGCATTTATGCAGATATGGTGATGATAGTATTCCTTTCCTTTACAAGCACTTTTAAACAGCTCATTAATGCAGAGTGCTACCCTTTCCTATTAAAGAAATTGGTTACTTCTTTTTCCTCGTTGCATTGTTTTTTTCTCATTGTTTAATGTGAAAACAAGAGCAAAGTAACTACTCGTTCTATCAGAACCCAAATTGTATGATGAAGTTAATGAAGCTGTAAAGGATGAAAGCCATACAGAATCCTTCTTTACCTTCTTTTTTTTTTTTTAATTATATTTCTACAATTTAATTAGCTTATTCCTCAAGATTGACCTACCTAGAATTTGTCATACTGAATCCTTGTAGGGAAAACACAGTAAAGTTCGAAATATTTAAAGGCTTGGTTTGCCTCTTTTTAAACTTGTTCAGAAAGTATTGCTGGGGTCAGCTTCAGCAGAGCGTCCAAGTTTTTGCTAGTGTGCAAATGTGGGTAAGATAATATCAACATTGTTCTGAAAAGCCCACTACTTAATTTGCAAGGAATCGTGCTTTCTATCACAAACAAGAAGCTATGTTCTGTTCTTGCAGCCCTCTTCTACCAATTTCAGGTAACAACCATTGTTACTGAGACAGGAACATAGTAGGAAAAGAGAAAGCATGGAGATAAGGTAGAATAACAGCAGAAACTGTATTTTCAGGAGAATGTTCTCTCAGGCTTTTTAAAAGCTTGCTGTTGTTAAAGAAATTCCCTGAAGGCAAGCAAATATTTCCAATTTTGCTCAGCACTTCAAGCAGAAATTGCTTAAATTTTTTTTGCTGTCCAGATGCCTTACTGTGCAATGGCCAAGATACGTTTTGGTTATGAACTCTAAGAAAACCACCCAAGCATTCTTTAGCTGCAGAATGCATGTTAATAAGAGTGCTGAGTAAAGGAAAACAGTAATTTGAGATTTTCCATACTCTGTTTTGCATCTTGTCTAAGTCCTTCTTATATCAGACCCAGACTGCACACCAGGCATTCCTCATGGCAAAGGTGTACAGGACAAGGGTGTAGCAAAGAAGGGGTGAGAAAGGTAGGTAATTATACCTTTCTCTCTATATTCATAATAGCTCACAACCTAAGCTTCCCTGAGTTGCCCCGGGCAGATATTAGGCTTGATGTTGGAAGAGAGGAATATTTTTTAGAAAGCAAACAAAATCCAGTATTTCTTTGGAGACGGATAGGAGTTGATGGGTACATCTGGGAAGCTGGCCAGCGCATGTAGATGCCTAAATAAGAGTCCTCTGGAAAATCTGTTTTTAACATAGTCTGCAAAAGTTCTTTGCCATTTCACAGGTTGCTGTACTGCATTTCTCACTGTGGCTAAGTCTGTTATGGACTTTAGAGAAAAGTACATTCATAAACTTGTATTGCCTTTCTACTTTTAACCAACATGAGTATAATAGCAGTTTTACCATTTTGAGAGCTGCTGTAATAATCCTTCCTATATGTCATCTTTTTCTGTGGTAAAGTTCTCTAGCTATTTTGTGCATGAATATTGTGCAATAGATGAGGAATGAAGCTGAACACTGGTGTTTGGTTACAAGAGTCATTTCAGAAAACAAAATGTCACTACCTAAGTTGGATTTTGCCTCTTTTCCTTTAAAATCAGCTGGATTCTCTTGATGGTTTTCACCATCGTTCACATCTGGGATTACAAACTGGGACATCCTGAGCATCACAGTGCCATTTCCCTTCATGGTTGCACATCAGGTCAATTTGAACTGGGAGGAAGAGTTCTGTTTGTTCAACTGTCATGATATTCCACAGTGCATGTGGTTCCCTAGCAGTCTGCCTTTTTCATACCTACTCAAGTCTGTATTACTGAGCCTTCCAGATCCCTTCTCCACTGTTGCTAACAAGGCACTGTCGCTGGGAAGACAGCAGAAGCAATGTGCTCTGATTCTCTTCTTTCTGCAGAATCCACTTGGAGGACCTCAGCCAAAGCGTGCTGCTCCATATGACTGAGAAGCTTGGCTATAAGAACAGCGATGTCATCAACACTGTGCTCTCAAACAGAGCAAGTCACACACTTGCTATCTACTTTCTTCTTAATAAGAAGCTGGAACGCTACCTGGCAAGCCTTAGAGTAAGTACTGCTTGATGCTGATTCTTTGGACGAGCAGGTGAGAGGGTAAAAAAATGCTTTAAAGTTTCTCAAGGCATTACTCACATTGCTTTTTTTTTTCCCAATCCTGTAAAAATGACCATGAAATGGAGGTATTCCTTGCAAACTAAAAACATTATTTCGAATAATAATTCTCCAGGTTACTGAGATAACACTTACAGTCTTTACATCTCGTGAGAAGTGTTTCCAGAGAAGTACATTAGTTCTCCATAGAAAACTAGTGATAAATTTGCCATCCCAGGATAGGCTGTAGTACAGTCAGTACCTAATGTGTATGCAGTCTAGCCCACTTGACTTGGCAAATGTTCTCCCAGACCATTTTCTTTCTTCTTTAGCATTGCTTTCCGTAAAATCCATGCCCTTCAGTGCCTGTGCTAATGGTGCACAGCTGCCCAGCTCACCTAGCTGAGATCCCTGAAGGGAACACCCCTGAGAGCCTGCAGTACCTTGTGTTTCCCTCCCTTTGTGGAACTGCTCTATGTGTGGCTGAAGGGAGCAATCACCTTGCCACACCACCCTTTCTTCCACATCTGGGGCAACTGAACTCCCTAGCTGTGTTTTGTGTTGCACTTGCTCAAGTATTAGGATGGGCAAAGTGCACAAAGGCAAGCTGCACTCCCTCTTCTCATAGTCTCTCCACACAACTGTCTGTTGTTCAGGTGAGGAGTCTTAAACACTTAAGAGTCTGTAGGCTCCTACATCAGGGTTTTTCTTTATGGAATGCTTTTTTCCATGGAGAAATTATCCCCAATTACCTTTTCTTCTGACAACAGCTTCTTAGTTTTCTCTCTTTTCAGTTCTCATAACAAGTATGTTTTAATGATGGCATCAATGATGTTTAGAATGTAATGGATCATATTCATCATCTCCATAAGGTGATGCGACTCTACTGAATGGCTAGAGTGGACATGGTCCATTAAGCAGTAGCTAAACATCAGTTTTCTCCAATTATCTTACATACTTTGATTTTTTGTGCTCCTCTCTCCACAGAAATCTGAAGTCCAGGACAATATTTGCCACAAGAACCAGCTATACCAGATTGACAAGTACAAGGCAAATAAAGAATCCTATGAGGTAAAGCTCATTAAAGCTTCTTAAGGTATTTGGACAGCAGGCTGAATTTGAGGATCTCCTGCAATTAGGATTAAGACAATGAGTTTCTGGAACTGTGAGGGGAAAAAAAAAGATCTGGGCAGAACAATTCTCTCAATTTCTATTTGAAAGAAAAAATAGCAGCCCCCTGGAGTGAAAGTTTAAAGATGACTTTCAGCTTTCATGAGGAAAAGAAATACTCTGTTTAGCAAAGTAAAACAAAACTTCTTCAGGAGTCCCTTTAGTTTCCTTCTGAAGTGCAAGTTGCTGTAGAAGACCATATCTCATTGTTTTGAAAAAGCTGAGAGACTGCCAGGATTCACCTTCCATGATAGTTTGGTGTAGATCTGCATAGCAGAGTGCACTGACCCAGCAGAGCCCAGGCTTAACTATTAGAAACAGTAAAACTATATTAGCACAAAACTCTGCCCAAGTGAATTTTTTGCTTCCCAGCAGAACTGATTGAGAACTAGCCCACTGTATTGTGAGAGACTTCCCTTGGCCAGAGCAAAGATTGAACCAGGTTACTGTTCACTCTGTTTGTCTCCAGTCTTCTTGCCCACAGTGGAGGAGGTAGTTTATATTCAAGGAATCCTCTTCTGTCTACATTTTTGTTCCCTGGCTGTTACTTGGTGAAGCACTGAAGTTATGAGTTGTGTGAACTATACAAGTTGTATCTGACAACATAAATAGCAGTGTTCCCGAGGAGCTTGCTACTCTTCAGTGCCGGATTCATGATTTAATTGCAGGGACAGATCTGTTTCGTGGCTGGTTTTGTTTATTTTAAAGACTGCTTGCAAATTTAATAGAAAAGCTGACTCGCAAGCCAGATGGAAATATCAGGGCAAAGCACTTTTACCATGCTTTTCTTACATAAATTGAAACCATCTTATTTAAAATGTATCAGCAGTGGGTAGATTCAGTGAATATAGTATTTCAAAATGCTCTGTGGCAGTTTACTTCAAACTGCTGCAGGCAAATGTCCTCTCAGAACTCAGGCAGGTCCCCAGAGGTTGTGATGCAGGCATTGCACGGTGCATCCTGACCTTGCCAGGCTCAGATTCCTCCGGCTGCCGGTGCTGCCTCCTTGCACAGTGCCCGAGATCCCCAGGAGTACTCTGCATAGCATTCAGACACTGGCTTACTGGTTCTGCATCCATGCTGCATGCAGGGGAGCCTGCATCAAGGCTTGTGTGAGCACCTGCACAGAGCTAGTATGCATAACTAGTAATGGTGTGACTCAGTGACCCTAGTTTTGTTTGTATGCATCTTGAGGGATGAAGGCTCTCTCCAAAGCCTCTCCTGTGCTCACAGTTAGTCCCAAAGTAGCTATTTAGAGGATGAGGGTGTGTCTTTTCTTTCTTGAAATAGTTACCTTAATGCAATCTCAGTGCAGACACTGTGATAATGATACAGTATAATCTCTTTCTACATGGGCACAGCTGAATATAAAGCATGTTGATACTGCGTTAGCTGTATTTACATGAGGGGACTGTATAACACCAGGACAGTTAAAGCAGCATGCTTGGGTGAATGCAAGCCCCGAGATGCTCCTGCCGCTTACAGCTATGGTAGATGTCTGCTGAAATGCCTCCAGGGGGATGGATGGAAGTGTCTGGATTGTGCCGTTGGGATCAGCAGGTGCTGCTGGGCTCATGGTGACAGAATTCATAAGCTGGGAACGATTCATGAGCTGTGATCAGGCTCCCCCTGCCATCCTCAGTGCCCAGCCTGGTCCCCAGACAGATACCCCCAAAGCAGCATGGCAGTATGTTGCCATGGCAATACCAGGAGAGAGGTGGTCAGGCACGGCAGAGGCAGCTGACCGTGTTTCTTCCACCTCACTCTGTCATGTGAAATGAGGACATTCTGTGGGCCAGGACCAGCTGCCAGCAGCACTGGCTGTTGCTGGGCCATGCAGTGTAGCACATGGACAGGCCTAGCTCAGCTGTCCTTTCAGTGTCCAAAACTGGGTGGTAGCACTGGTGTGCCAGGGGTGGGGTGCTGAGAGTTTCTCTCAGGGCTGAGCATCTGGGTGGCTTTGCAGGCTGGCCTTATTTTAGCACTTGGTACAGTTGAGCAGTGTCTTTTTTTGCTGCAGAGGCCACAGGTGGTGAGCAGTCATTCCTGCAGCAAAACCAGGGACCAGTGCTGAGGATCCCTGCTTTCCCTAGACGAGCCGGTGGGCTCAGGCTTGAGGAATTTGTGATTTTAAGAACTTATATCATCATCCTATCACAATATTAGGCATGGCCAAGGCAAATACCTGTTATCTTCCTTTCAGGTCCATTGCTAGGACTAGTATGGATTTTAGGGTCGAGGTCAGGACAGGAAATAGCAGAGGCTGATGTAATGCTGAACTTATTCAAGTATAACATACCGGCACAACCCTTTCATTGTGCAGCAGCATGCCATTGCATGGCTGCGTATAGCACGGGGAGGAGTGAACTTTTATAACTCCCCCAAAGGTACACTTCCTTTCCTTCTTAAAACATAATAGCATGTGGAAACTTGGGAGTTTAGGATTTTCATTGTTCCCTCTCCTACAACGATCATCAAAGAGAAGGAATTTTAGTAAATTTAAAAAATAAAATTATTTACAGCATTCTTCTGGGATATAGTAATTCATTGCCGGATGTGTGAATTTGCTTTTTCATCAGTGCTTCAATTGTACAACACAACTGTGCTGCTGCTGCTAGTAAAACATTACAGCAGTGTAAAAAAAGAGTCATGGGCGTGTGGAACATAGAATCGTAGAATGATTAAGGCTGGAAAAGACCTCTAAGCTCATCCAGTCCAACTATCATCCCACCCCACCATGCCCGCTGCCCACGTCCCTCAGTGCCACATCCACGTGGCTCTTGAACACCTCCTGGGACGGTAACTCCATCACCTCCCTGGGCAGCCTGTGCCACTGCCTCACCGCTCTTGCTGAGAAGTTGTTCCCAATACCCAACCTGAACCTCCCCTGGCACAACTTGAGGCCATTTCCTCTCGTCCTATGGCTATTACCTGGGAGAAAAGTCTGACACCCACCTTGCCACAGCCTCCTTTCAGGTGGCTGTAGAGAGTGGTAAGGTCTCCCCTCGGCCTCTTCTTCTCCAGACAAATATCTTCTCCAGCGTATTTCAGAGCAGAGCAGTTAGGGGTTCTGGCTTGGCACTTGCAAAAAGGCTAAAAATATTGCAGTGCTGCAGTGTCCTGCATGCTGACAGATGCTGCAGCTACCAAAATGCAAATTCTTTCCTCACCTACCCAAATAGCAGAAAGCTGTTAAACAATTTTGATGGACTCCCTTTAGGCTTTATGTAGTCACCACGCAGTCTCACCCACTTTAAAAAAAAGATATGTGGTAGAACCTAGTCTCTGCTGAACTTGGCAGCAGAGTCTTGCAGCCTTGGGAGAAAAAATAGTTTGGTGAGCTCCAAATTAAATGTGGAGCTCCCACTGACTTTATTGTTGTAGTCTGTTATTCACACAGCATTATTATTATTGCTGCTATTGTTGTTATTACTGTTGTTATTACTTCATCAACATCAATAGTGACTGTGCTCGCCAAAATGCTATCTGGGACTGGTCAGATGTGGTGTTATTTCAAGCACAGCACAGGCAGAGAGGAATAAATGTTCTGTCACTGGCATGGCTACAGCCTGTAAAGGCAAGGGGGAAGGCATCAGGCTGACCAGGAGGTGTAGCACAAGGAAAGTGATGGCTGATCCAGAAAGTGTTGTTTTATTCTGTGTAAGAATTAGCCAGCCAGAGCCAGCTAAGGGAAAAGCAGTAGGAGGAAATAAGGGATGTATGGAGAGAAGGCTGGGGAAAAATGAGTCTCAATACACTGAGAGGAAGAAGGCAGTGAGGAGCTCCCAGAGATGTCCCTGGTTCTCTTTCTCCCGTGTCACCTCATAGCTTCTGTAATAAAACTTAAAATGTGAACATCTTCCTGAAGGTCTTCGTCCTAATTTGGTAACTTCTGAAAGTTCAAAGATTAACGATCCCAGCAGTGTCAAACACCATCTGTGCAGAGGGCCTGATTCTGTCTGAGGTGGCAGCAGTGAAGAAGAGTTCTGCCTTATTATTTTCCTTTTATGTGTCTTAACACGTTTCCTGAGTTGTTTAGTGGACAAAAAAAAATTGTCTTCTGCATTCTTTCAGAGGTGTCACATATGTATACACATTACTTTCCATCACACAGATGCCCCTCTAAAAAAATAACCCCAAAGCAATCAAAACAAAAGTCCCTCTGCTCCCAGATTCACATTTAACACCACATGACACACATTTCCTCAAGAGAGGTGGGAGATTCTTGAAGTCTTTGAGTGACAGCATAATACAAACCACAGATTTTGATGTCTAGGTTTCAGTAATATCAGACTTTGGGCTCCCTCTTGAATCAGTGACATCTAAAGAATGTTATGCAGATTACACAATCTGGTGATTCCTGTTGAAAAAGATGCAATGAATTACAACTGTAAAACAATCAGATCCACTACTGATGTGGGTGGTAGGGCTTAATGCTCAGCTTGTGCCCATCCATAAGTGCAGTCATGGAATCACAGAATCACTACGGTTGGAAGACCACTAAGATGATTCAGTGCAACCATCAACCCATGCCTGTGACCACTCTAGACATATCCCTCAGTGCCACATCCACACGGCTCCTGAACACCTCCAGGGACGGTGACTGCACCACCTCCCTGGGCAGCCTGTGCCACTGCATCACTGCTCTTGCTGAGAAGAAATTGTTCCTAATATCCAATCTTAACCTTCCTGGCACAACTTGAGACTGTTAGTTCTGATCCTTTTATTGTTATGTGGGAGAAGAGGCTGCTGAATTACAGAATTATACACACACACAATCAGAGCTCGGGGATGTGCAGCAAAGGCCGCGTTCCTCGGGATATTGTGCAGACAGAAGATGAATGACTCGAAGAGTTTAAACTACGTTAAAGTTCTTCAGATCACCTTTGGAAATGCTAGAGAAAGTGCAATAAACAGAAATCAAAGACCTTTTTTTTGTTTAAATGGGCAGGCAAATTTCAAATCTGAAAGATCATAAATCTGTGTGTACTTGCTTGAACAAGGTATCCTAGCAAAAAAGGCCTCTGAAGACAGGCTTGATTTTCTGATCATGTCAAACAGATCAGAGGAAAATATGACTTGGAAGACACAGTTATTTTGAGTAGTCAGGATAAATTCCATGTAAATATTTTGTTTTTAATCCAGCTTCAGTAAGCAGTGTATCTCTGGGGGGTTTCGGACATTTGAACTTCCTTCAGTAAACCAGATTGTTCTTGTTTGTTTTACAACCTAAAGGACAAAAAACTCAGAAAACAAGAAAAGAAAGGGGATATTCTTCACCGTCAGCTCCCAAAGAAAACTGAGAAAAGTCCAGTTTCATATAGACAGCCTTCTTCCTGTCTTATCTCACAGATACAGAACACCAAGGCTCAGCTGAGGGACCGAAAAGCTACCAAGGCTGGAGGTGCTGAGAAAGGTCAGTGGGAGAAGTGTTGGTCTGTCTATGGGCATGAACCTTCCTGTGACTGTGCTAGCATGGGCCTGTGTAGTGTCGATGTCTTGTGTGGTGTGTGGTTGTGTGTAAATAGTGCTCGTGTTTGCTGCCTGCTCTGGACGTGGTTATGTGAAAGAGGATGGAATCGTGTAATCAAACACTGAACATAACATCCTGGGGAAACCATGGCAGCTGGCACATTGGCACTTAGAAAGCATCAACAGTCACCCCATATCGGTGCTGGCCTCTGGGGCAAAGCAGTGGCAGCTGCTGGTGGTGGACAAAGGGGAGGTGGGCAGGCAAAAGGAAATGCAGCCGGGGCTGCTGACCACTGGCAGCAAAAGGAAGAGGAAGAGCATTAACAGGAAAGGGAAAAGATGAAACAGCCATTGGGGAGAAAAGCATTCCTGATGCAGGGGAGGAGGTGGGCTGGAGAGGGCTGGGTGGGACCTGCTCCAAGGATGGCAGGGTTAAGGAGGTGCGGGGAAGAACAGTCAGTGGGGAAAACAGGGAGCATGTGGCTAGGGAGATGCAGTAGGGAGCAGAAGGGGACATAGCTGTTGGTTAAAGGAGGTAACTACAGAGCCATGCGGAGAAATATGGTGACTTGAAATGCTGAATAGGGTGGCAGGAGGTTGTTTAGAGGCACAGGGGACAATAAGCAGTTGATTTTTTCTCCTTGGCTTCTACTAGCTTTTTTGAACTGAAATCCGAAAATCATTCAGTTCTCAACTAAAGCATATCTCTGCTTATGGAAATTGTGTTTTGACACTTGTTTCTTCAAGTGGTCAAGTAATTTTGGCCAGTTTTGGAAATAAATAAGTCAGATTAAACCTGATCTGCTTTTTCCAAGCAACTCTCAATGCAATTGATTTCATCCCATACATCCCTTTAGACCTCAACCGCTGCCAAGACCATTCCTTTGGAAAGAAATACACGTGAGATTTGTGGCTATTACCTGATGTCCAAAGTCTTGCATTATTTTCTATCCCTTTTAGATAGTTTGAGACCAAGAGAAGTCACAGACAGAGATAAGCTGCCAGTCCACTCTTCTTTCAATTAGGAGCATTCTAACAGAGCAGGCTGCTTGGCTAGCGTTTCCTAAACGCAGCAAAATGTACTTTTTTTCTTGCAACTAGCTTGGCGTGAGTGAGTGCCAACATTCTGTAGAAACTGAACAGATCTTCTCCATGGGCTGTTTTGTATTATTGGGCCAAATCCTGAAAAGATTGTTCCATTTATATTCAGTCCTTGCTCGGGGAAGATTGTCGCTGAAGTCAGTGCAGCAAATCTGTTCCAACTGTAACAGCCTGAATCTGGCCAATGCAGTTACTCCATATTTACATGTGTGAAACCAAGAACAGATTTTGTTCCAAAACGCAAGTAGAGACATTAGGAATTAACTCCCTGTTGTCCCCCATGTTTGTAGGTGTGTCAGGGAGTACAGTACGCAGACCCATCTAAAACTATGCAAAGAAATGTGAGATTTCTCAGACATTGCCTTAGAGGATATGATTAATACAAACAGCTGAAAACATCCATGGTTTCCTATTTCATGTCCTTGTCTTACTCACTTTAAATGCTCTTCCTGCATTTGAGGAAGGCGGCAGATAAGTTACTCGTGATCAGCAGTGTAAGTATCAAATAGAGGACAAGGAATCAGGTTCTTTGATGTTGTGATGTGTGCATCCCCAAGACCATTTGGTTGAGCTGGTGCATGTGTCATGCTGTTATGCAGTCTGTGAAAGATAATGTCTGCCATGAGGCAGAGAAGGTGATGCTATTGAATGCCGTTTGCTCTTCTGGTTCCTTTTCTGGTTGCTTTCAGACTCCACCAGTGGGCTGAGCCCCTTCCACGAGCCCTTGGCGACCAAGGCCAGCTGCATCACCTCCAGCTCCCTGGAGTACCTGGAGGCCCAGCAGCCGCTGCCCAGGACCCCCCGGCTCCTGAAGAGGCAGGAGTCCCCACAGCAGGAGCCAGCGCGGGGTGGGGGCCGGGCCAAGGACTCTCCCCTCATCCTGAACATTGTGCACTCCTTCGAGTCCGTTGACAGAGAGGACCAAACAGACCAGGTCTCCCCCTCCCACCAGTACAAGATTTTAGGCTCACCGATGAATTTTCCTTCCAAAAGCTCGAGTGAAAGGACACTGTCCCCGCTTTTTCAACCAGGAAGTACATCCCCCATCCACCCCAACCAGGTCTCTTTTACATACGAAGAAAAAGCATATCCCACCAAGGAAGAAGCTGTGTCCCCTACTCAGCTGGTTTCCAACAACCCGTTGGGCAGCCCCAACTGTGTTAAAAGCAGGGGCAGGTTCCCCATGATGGGGATCGGACAGATGCTGCGGAAGAGGAACCAGGCGATGCAGTCGATGGGCGACAAACCGCTGGAAGCACGGATGCCTCAGCTGCAACAGATGAGCCCCACGCAGATCACGTTCAATGCAGATGCTGTCAGCGGCCAGTGTTAGTCTGGCAGGCCAGGATTTGTATTTCTGTTGTCTGCGACCCAGCCTTTTTTATTTTTAAAAAGAAGGGAAAGCCACAGGCATGTCACCATCTCTACATAATACAGTGCAGTGGTCCAGTGTAGAAAATCAGAGGTCCATTTGTAAGGAAGGGGTTGTCCTATGTATTAAAGTGAAAAGAAGAGTGCTCTGCTTGTGCTGTTAAGAAATATTAGCATTAGGCATCAGACTGTACAGTAAAACATGTCTTGAAAAAGCCACATCAATATGTATTTTCACTGCTCAAAGTCTCTTATTGTAGTAAAGTTAATTGGAAGAGCAACGAGCATTACCAGTGTGATTCAGCAAGGTGATTGGCGTGGTGCTGTGAGTGCTGGTCCCAGCTGGGGCCATGGTAAGGCTACCCATGCTCCTTCTGCCCATGCCAGGCAGTACGCTGTCCTGTTACAGGCATCATTCAAGGGGAAAAACTCAAGATGCCATTTCCAAAATCAACTTGCTAAAAAGCACTGCCAGGGAGATGAAGTTTGTAGAAGCTTTAATCAAGACATGCGCGATCTAAACATTCAGGAAAAGTGGGACTAATGAAAGTCAAACTAGATCTTACTGTTTATTACATAAAGTAGCTAGTAATGGCATCATTTGTTCCTAAGGAAAATGATAATTTAATCATTCAGAAGGAACATGATTATTCAAAAACAAGGCTCATCACATGACAATTAACTGCACTGAAGGCCTGTTCCTTTCATGTAATGGGTTTACAAGTGGATACTTTAGTCAATGATCCCCATTGCCACACGCTGTGTTTAGGCAATCAGGTCTCCTCCAATTTTTGTAGCTGTACTATTTCCATTCCTGTGTGCAGGTTTGCACTAGCCCCTATTGCAGTTACACAGCACCTGAAGGCTTTTCTGAGAGACTGCAGTGAGTTGAAGAGACTCATAAAGGACACACAAACCTATACCAATGCCGTTTTATACTACAAGATCGGTTATGTGGTGGTTACCAAAAATTTGGTATTGTTACGAGCTGTGAAGATTAAGTTTCTTAAAAAGCAACATGTTCTGCATACTGGTCTTGTTTTTCTAAGTAAATGATCTGAGAGGCTGGCAACATTTTTGGTTCTGTTTTTGTGTTTCACACCATTTCCTATAAACTAGAAGATTTAGCCAAAGACTACACTTTTCTATTGTGTGTACTGTGCTTGCATATGTGTTTGTGTATATGGGACATCTCAGCAAAGCTCATACTAATCTGGTTCCCCCATAGGCGCCCCATTGCTGCCCACCCACTTCATGTCATTCTGCAAACAAGACAGCAGAAGCATTGCCCTGCTACTGGGGCTGCTGGCGAATAGAGGGATTTTGCATCAGATTGTCATAGAATCACAGAATCACAGAATGGTTTGGGTTCGAGAGGAGCTCAAAGCCCACCCTGCTGTGGCAGGGCTGCCCCCCACCAGCTCAGCTGTCCAGGGCCCCATCCAACCTGGCTTTGAGGCCTCCAGGGATGGGGCACCACAGCTTCTCTGGGCAGCTGTGCCAGCCCTCTGAGGAAAAAATGTCTTCCTAATATCTCACTTAAATTTCCTAAATTTCATCAGTAGGAACCCAAGCCCTTTTTTTATCAGTGTTATTGCAAATGATTTGGGGTCCCATTGCTTCAGTTTCTGTACAAATGTGAGGAGTTTCCTTTCTTTGACAAGCCTTTCATCCGGTTTCATGAGGTGGAGAAGGGCCACCAGAGGCAGGTGGAAAGGTCCCTGGCAGAGCCCATAACTCAGCAGACATTCCCAATTCTCAGTATAGCTTAGGCCATGCATCAAAATCTGCTGGAAAAAAAAAAAAAAAAGGTCACCCATCCAGATACTGACAGAACAGATAACTGGACTGTTCAGTATTCTGAGTGCTTGCTGGCAAACCCAGCAGCATGTGACTGCCCAGGGCTCCCTTCTCATCTCCGCAGATGGGACCTTCAACGCAGCCTCGAAGCTGCCCATCGTTCAGCACAGGGGTGTCCGAATGCTTTTGACTGTATGCCTCAGTGTGGTGAAGGCACCACTTCGGTCATAAGCCAGTGAAATGATATACAGAGCTGGTGAGCAGAACAATGGCAACACAGCCACGTGTGTGCATCAGACCTGTGCACCCCAACAGATGGCAGGTACTGACTTGAACTACAAACTCAGGTTTATTTGGAACCCAATAAAAGGTTGGGGGAGGTAGGAAAGAGACATGTATTTTTGTGAAAACTCAGTAAATATGTGTAAGAATCAGAATGAAAATAGAAATGTTAAATCTTTTATTATATTTATAGAGAATATATGAATACTACACTGCTAAAACATAAACATGTATCCAGCTTAGACAGTAGCTATGTACAGTCAAACTGCAGTGGCCACGTAAGGGACTTCTTGAAATACAGTAGTGGAAATTCCAGGGGAAAAAATGTATTTGTTATCATTATTAAATATATGTACTTTTTGAACAAGATTGCCATGGAGTACTGACTTTGTTTGCCAGGTCACCATGTGGCAAGGAACATCTGAGTACAAAACAACTAGCAGAACAGTGAGGTGGTGAGAATTACCAGCACTTTTACCTTCACCCAGCAAAGGCTGTTCCTTTGCAAGAGACCAGTGGCTTGCCTAAAAGGATAATGGTAGCACAGCGTTGCATTTCCCTTGGTTTACATGAGTGCTTTGCATGTAGTACATCTTGTCTCTGTTGGTTATCCAAGCTCCATTTGTCACCAGTGCAGGCAGATAGACATCTCTAGTTCTCCCTTCCTTAAAACAGAGATTTGAAATAGGGAAATGAATCACTCCTCAGCAGTGCCTTGCCACTCTCAATTATGAGAGAGGGAATAGAGTTGGCCACCTCAGAAGAAAACCGAGCTCCTAGGCAGCCAGGCAAGTCCCACAGATAAGAATTTGCACTGATTCAAGCAAAGGAATTTGCTGGTCAGCCTTCTGCACTTCTGGAGTAAATCGTTCCAGTTGTAGGGACTGGTTTCATAGGGCCCTTCACCAAGTTCAGCATGCCCATGCAAACAGACAGCTTCAGCTGGAGCATTTCTATTCTTGTTGGTGTCACAGTTCCTATAAGCGCTGTTTCTTCCTCCTCCTACCTTTTTAAAAATCTGTTTCATACAGCAGGCTGAGGTTGCCTTGCAGGTGTTTGCGGTAGGCTTGGCACCAAGCCCATGAGGAACCTGTTTGCTAGATCTGAAAATAGGCCTTACATTTCAGGTTATGCCCTGGGGGAAAAAGAGCACAGCTGAGCTTTTGGGTGTGAGGTGGAAGCACTGGAGCTTATGGGGGCTTTTTGAGATGCTTTTTATGCCCAGAACCCAATGGAAACAGAGGACCAGTGGTGAAGCACTTGAAGAGTTTGTACTTTACATCACTTGACGTTTGCGACAAAATCCATCCGTGTAACTGCAAAATGATGGAGTCAGGTCTCCAGGCAAATTCTAAGCCCCAGGACACCAGTAAGAGGTTTTGCTAATGCCAGCCTGGGCACATATCTGGCTGATACACTTCCAGGCTTTGCTTATCAAGGAGCAAACGGAAATTTCAGGGAAGCTATTTTTGTGTACAGTAATCCCAAAGTTGCCTGTCTCTTCCCTGCTTGTTTAGTACTCTGTGCACTTCCCCTTTTGTTCTCCCCCACATACCTTCCAGAGCACAATGAAACCACAAGGTGCAGAACCACTGCCTGTGTTTCCTATTAAAAAGTTATCACAGCTCTGTGGAACAAGAGCCGTAAATCACTTGCGTGCAGAAATAAAACCATGTGGCAAAATCATTCTTTGGTGTGCCTCCCACTGCCTTTCAGCAAGCTCCCTATCTCCTGATCTGCATCCAAGGTGGCCTCCTGTAGGAACGATATAGGAAGAAAGTGGGAGATGGCTGAGCTGGACGTCCTCATTCCTCATCCCCTTGGAGGGGAGGGAGTATGCTATCTGAATCATAGAACCATAGAATCATTAAGGGCTGGAAAGACCTCTAAGGTCACCCAGTCCAACCATCAGCCCACCCCCACTATGCTCACTGCCCACATCCCCCAGTGCCACATCCACACGGCTCCTGAACACCTCCAGGGACGGTGACTGCACCACCTCCCTGGGCAGCCTGTGCCACTGCCTCACCACATTTGCAGCAGGTTTCTATCAAATGAGCTTCTTGAGCACTCGTTCCTAAGACACAGACATCAGCATGTGTTTCCTGGGACCTATGTGCATTACACGTACTTGTCTTTCATTAAGATGGCTTGCAGATGTGTGTAGGGGGAAGCTGGGTTACAGCAGTTTGAGTACTTTAAATATTTAGCATCAAATGAAGCTCATAATGTGATGCCTTCTATTATTTAGTTACAAGCAATTAGCTGCTGTTAGAAACAAAGGGTGTTGAGGCTGAGCCTAAAATAGAACTTGGAATTCATCTGAACCTCCTTGCAGTGTGGCTGCTGATGCTGGGCAGTGAAATACCTGAGAGAGAAGAAACAAGAAGAGGTGTATCAGTTAAAGGCAAGGTGCTAACCCTGTTTCAAAATTTTGGTTAATACTCTAAAAAAAGGACTATTGCATTTTTCATCTTGAAGAAACTTTTAAATTCATGTTTGTAGGAATTGCATTCCTAACGAATGTAAAAATCCCCAAATTCACTGTATTTCCTGCTATCTGTAAAGATAAAATTGTAGAATCATAGAATCAAAGGTTGGAAAAGACCTCCAAGATCACCCAGTCCAACTGTCCACCTGCCACCGACATTTCACCATTAAACCATGTCCCTTGGTACAACAAATAATATACAATCTAAAACAAAGACAAGGAAAGCCACCAGAGACTTTATTTAAAAATAGCTTCATTCCTTTACAGAACAAAACATCATGGGGACAACACGATACCACACTCCCTCTTCCCACCACCATCTCTATCTGCTCCAGGGCAATTTCTTCCCAATTCACCACGACCATGATCTTGCACCTGCATTTCCTGTGTGCCTCACTGAGTTGCTGTGTGTTTCCTTCTCTACCTGACCAGTGAGACCTGTGGGAATTTGGGATTTTGGAGACCTTCTTTTGTCTAAAGTAGCAGGAGATCTCATTTGGGAGAGGCCAACGGTTGGATGGACAGACAGATCTGTGATCTGGGATGAAAAAACCTTTTCTACCTCACATGGACCTAAGTGTTATTCCAGGAAGCACCTGACACATTCTAAGGCCAGCTCTGCAGTTTGGAGCCTGCCCTGCACAAGCTTCTGCACGGGGAAATAGAGGTTACCCTCTGTGACAACTCATTCTACATCTGTACCACCAGAAACATCTTCCACGCTGCCACTTCCATCAGGGAACTTGCTGCCATTCCTCCACAATGGTTCTTCTTACATTTATTGACTGTAACTTTCCAAGGAGCAAACACCTCTCCTATGAGGAAAAGTTGAGAAAACTGGGTTTGTTTAGCTTGGAGAAGGCTCTGGGAAGACCTCATTGTGGCATTCCAATATTTGAAGGGAGCATATAAACAGGAGGGGGAACAGCTGCTTGTGAGGGTAGATAGTGATTGGACAAGGGGGAATGGTTTTAAACTGAGACAGGGAAGGTTTAGGTTAAATATTAGGAGGACAATTTTCACACAGAGGGTGGTGACACACTGGAACAGGTTGCCCAAGGAGGCTGTGGATGCCCCATCCCTGGAGGCATTCAAGGCCAGGCTGGATGTGGCTCTGGGCAGCCTGGTCTGCTGGTTGGTGACCCTGCACATAGCAGGGGGGTTGAAACTAGGTGATCATTGTGGTCCTTTTCAACTCAGGCCATTCTATGATTCTGTGATTCTATGATTGGTGTAAAACTCTTTTGGCTGAGGAAAGGAGTCCATTTCACAGTGTGTCTTCTGAGCAGAGGAGTCAGCTATCCCAACAGAAAATGTCCTAAAGATGTGCTTAACTTTCCCATCTTTGCTGAGGCCAGCAATTTGTTATGGTTTAAGGATTAAATATATTTCATTTTGAACCCCATGGGCATGGGTAACAATTTCAGGCTTTTTGCTGATGGGTGTAAGGCTTACCTTTGTAATAACCACACAATGTAAACCACCTTATTTAATTAATTAAGCACACAGCAAGATTGCAAGTTAAAAAAGCAGCTTTTATTTATGAAAACATCAGCATGGTGAGTGTTGCAGCCAGCATTTTAATGCACACAGCTGTTTTCACACATACTCTTGAAGAGGAAAGAAGGGGAGAAGCAGCAGCTTCCTTCTCCCTCATCACACAGGTGGGAAAGGTAACCTCAGCCTTTACACAGCTGTGTGTTGTTGTTCACGGGTACATGCACAGACTTTATAGAGCCCATCTAACTAAAAGAGGGAAAATTTAGATGAGATATAAGGGGAAAATTTTTTCCTCAGAGGGTGGTGAGGAGCT